GGCGGCCGAGGGGCCGGCGGACGCCGGGGACAAGGACGAGGCGCTGGAGGAGAAGCTGCGGAACTTAACTTTCCGGAAGCAGGTCTCTTACAGGTAGGTGTGGGGCGGGCGGCCGGCGGGCAGGTGCCACCAAGCACGCGACACCCGCCCGTCTTCTGCAGGCGCCTTGCACGGAGTTGGGCACCCGCGGCGCCGCCTCTCTCTCTGTGTGTGTGTGGCTCGCTCCTCTCTTCTGGCTCCTCTCGCGTCCTTCTCGGGGATTTTGTTCTTCTCTTTCCATCCCACCATTCTGGATTCGAGGGACGCTGCGCGCGCCGGGTTTTGCTGGGTTTTCCTCTATAACATGAAGGCAGAACAGCAACAGCAAAATGTGCGCGCGCGCGTGTGTGTGTGTGTGTGTGTGTGTGCGCGTGTGTGTGTGTTGTAGGCAGAGACGGAGATGCCAGTTTTCTGGAGAGTCGTCCTCAAAGTTGCCCCTAAGCCGGAGCCGTCTTCAACCACTCGCCACCCTTCTAGATGTCACTAGACGAAGCCTTGGCAGTAACTCGAGAGTTGAGATCACTCCCGCCGGCAGGCAGGTAGGCTGGAACGGCGCTGTACCGAGAGAAATCCTTCTGGAAATCAGACGTGCTTGGGAACTCCCCGTGGACCGAGTCAGAGGAGGGCTGGTGCCTGTAGATACGCAGCTGGTTATGGCGGTCCACGTGCTCGCTCCTTCTGCGGATGTGCCCAGAAAGATGCTGTGGGGGCGCCCATGGCCAGCTAGGGACCAGAGAGAGAATGGGGCCATACTTGCACCTCAGGATGGATGTACTGGGGAGACAAGGGTAGTGAGGGAGAAATTGCCACCAAATTATAATAAAAGATCATCCCAAATTGTGTCAGGATACCAAAATGAGAAATGAGGGTTGAAGAGGCTCCCCCCGCCCCCATCCCCAGGCAAGAATTAACATGTGCACAGACCTGGAGAGTTCCAGAGGAACAGTTGATGTCACTACCCTTTTTGCATGCGGATTTTAAAAGTCCAGGTGATAGACCAGCATAGGACAGCAAACACTTGCTAGGGCTCCGAGTGTTTCTTGAAAAGGGGTCAGTGACAGCATCCTGGTGGCTCCACTCCCACTGAGTTACCACGTCCCTTCCAGAAAGCAGTATAAAGTATGACGGCTGCCACGCCATGTGCTGTTATGTAAGCAAAGGCAGATGACAGGGGCGTGTGCGTTTGTGAGGGGGTGGGCTTGCTCTGTGGGGGCTTTTGTGTGAATCACTGGGTCCCGGCAGACATGGCCTGTATCCGGCCTGCCATCAGGACGTGTGCTCTGTGTTCAAGCATCTCCTCTGGCCAGGTCGTTGCTCCTGATCCCGTGCGTGCATTGTGTCCACTGAGTTTCTCACCCGAGTGCCTCTTTTAGTTACTCACAGAGCAGGGCCAAGTGGAGCTCTCTCTGTAGGTGTTTGGTTTCTAAAAATAGGCAGGTGTTGGGGAGGGGCAGCTCTCCCGAGGCAGGGTAGTACATAGGTAGTTCCACTTACTGGTTCCGATCACTGTGAGGCCTCCAGGAGCGGACACCAAGCTCATCCCAATTCAGGAGCCCTGGGCTGGGGCCAGGTGATTACGTGAAGTGCATCTGGGGCCGGCTCCTGGGCCGAGGGACTCTTCGGTGGCACTGGCGTTCAGCACCCTCCTCACTGGGGAGGGCTGCAAAACCGAGTTTGCAAGGGAAATCAGCTCAGCTTTCCTCTTGGCGGGGCCCTCCTCTCAGCCTCTCTCCTGGAAACGTGCACTCGGTGAGGTTGGGGCTTTCTGAGTTGCACACTCCAAACGCACGGATAAGTGTGTACACAGAAATACATGGGCAAGTGCCTGTACACACACACATGTGGACACAGGCACACACACAGGTGCTCACAGACACAGACGTGGACACATACACACAGTCATATGGACGCACACACAGGCATGGACACATACACACAGACAAGTGTGCACACACGCAGACGTGGACAAAGGCACACGTAGACAAGAGTGCACACACAGACATGGACACAGACACACACAGACAAGTGTGCACATATGAAGACAGACACAGACAAGTGTGCACACATGAAGACGTGGACAGAGACACAGGCAAGTGCACGCACATGTAGATGTGGAACAGGCGCACACAGACAAGTGTATACACACGCAGATGTGGACACACACACAGACAAGTATGCACACACAGACAAGTGTGCACACACAGACATGGACACAGACAAGTGTGCACACATGCAGACGTGGACACAGGGCTGCGTTTCTCTGTAGGTGAATGCTAATGCCGATCTGCCTTACAGTCCACAGAGGTGGGCTCCGCTTTGCGAGCATCATTTCCTCGTAAATAGAGCATTACAGTCTCCCGTCCAGTGAACCACCTGCATTGGCGCCTCCTCAGGTGGCTGGTTCAAAATGCCCGCCACCCCAGACGCACAGAATCAAACTGTCTGCGGGCAATAATTTTCAACAGGCTCCCCAGGAGATAGGAGCCCCTGTGGAGAATGGATACAATGCTCGGGTACTGAAGTGCTCAGTGGTTCGAATCCACCAGCTGCTCCGTGGGAGAAAAGACCTGGCAATCTGCTCCCATAAAGTTTACAGCATAGGAAACCCTATGGGGCAGTTCAGTTCTGTGCTGTAGGGTTGCTATGAGTCGGAATCGACTCGACAGCACGCAACAACCGCGCAGGTGATGATGCTTAGGCACACCAGTATGTGGGAATTGCTGTCCTACCTGTTGGTTTCAGAGGCAGTGCCACTGATGTCTGAGCTCAGAGGCCATGCCATCAGCAGTCCCTATGTCAGAGGAAGGAGCATGAGACGGTAGGTGATTGTCCTGGGGGCCTGGAGACCGTCTCTGTGTTGGTTATTATTTCTTTAGTGTCCCGGCACGTGGTCTGGCCCTCTCCACGGTAGCCACGTGTGCTGGAGCCAGCTGGTGGGGGGGGCCTGACCACTTTGCTGGTGGGCTGATGAGTGGTCTGGGAGGAGAGGGCAGCTTCTGGCTGGAGGTGGCTGTTGTCTCTGCAGTCTGGACCACGTCACCGTGTTTCTGAGGGCACCTGGGGCAGTGGCTGGTGGGGGCCAGCGGAGGGCGGCCAGGAAGACCTCTCGAGCGGAGTCCAAGCGAAAGAGTTCAGTTAGGGTGTGAACTGTGGCTGCTCGAGTCAGAGGGTCATTTGAAGTGGGGAAGTGGGGATTTGCAGGTAGGTACGAAAGGTCTTGTGAAGAACATGGGTGTTGGTGAAATGACACTTGAAAGAAACGGGGATTTGGGACAGGGGGCGTGTTCGTGTACATGCGTGTGTGTGCGCGTGCACGCGTCTGCATATGTGTGTAGAGGGGTCGTATCTGCTCCCTCTGTTGCTAAGGAACATATAAGCGAGGGTTTAAAAATACGTGAGAGTGGGTGGGCATATGCAGCGACTCCTGTCTTTTTAGGAACCGGAGCCCTTTACAAAAAGCCTTTAAATAACCATTTCTGGAGGCAGAGTATTCATTTCGCTTGACTTTTACTTTGTTAAGTAAAATTAACTCCTTTACGTGTCCCTAGATTTCCCCTCATTATCTTTCCTTTCTTGGCTTTTTTTGGGAACCCTTTTCCCAGGAGAATTGTCCTTTATCTCAGGCTCTGCCCCCTCCCCCAGCAAACGGTCTCTGCCGACAGTCGAGCTGAAGGTTTTAGAAGGCAGTGCAAGCGAGCCTACTTTTCTCTGAAAATTACTACTTCCTTTTTCTTTGCAAATCATGGTGCTGCAATAGATTCATATGTGCAAATGACTGTATAATGTGTAACAACTGTTTTTTTTTTTTAACTGTGGTAAGAATTCCCATTTAAGTCAGCAAAAAATAATAATAATAAAAGAAAAGAAAAAGCTTTTGGAACAACCCAGGGAGAGAGAGAAGGTAACTGGTGTTTATTGGGTGTCTTGTATGTGTCAGGCTGAGTATTATTGTACATTACATCTTACTGCATCTTCATGACGGTCCTGGGAAGGGATTATGAACATCTCAGTTTAGGAAGGTGGGAGGCAGTGGTGGCTCAGTGGTAGAATCCTCGCCTTCCATGCAGGAGACCCAGGTTCAATTCCCAGTCAGAGCCCCTCGTGCCAAGCCACCATCTGTCTGTCAGCAGAGACTTGCATGTTGCTGGGATGCTGAACCGGTTTCAGCAGAGCTTCCAAACTAAGATGGACTAGGAAGAAAGGCCTGGCAATCTACTTCCAAAAACCAGCCAGTGAAAACTCTGTGGATCACAAGGGTCTGATCCACAACAGCTCCTGGGGATGGTGTAGGACTGGGCGCCATTTTGTTCCTTTGTGCATGGGGTCGCCATGAGTCGGGGGCTAACTTGACATAGGCTGACAACGGCAATGTATTTTCAGAAACAGAACCTGAGGCATAGAGGTTGGCAGGAGACAGAATTTAAACACAGATCTGACTCACCAGCACCTTCTCTTTAGACCACATCATGCTGCTTCTGTAAACATGCATTTTAGCTCTGGCCTCTTTCCGTGGGTATGTGAGCCCGTGTGCCTACATGTGTGTCTGTGTGCATGTGTACATGTGTGTATGTGTGAGCGAGTACATGCATGTATGTGTGCAGGTGTGCGTGTACATGCATGTGTGTATGTGTGAGTGGGTGCATGTACATGTGTGTATGCACATAGACATATGTATGTGTGTGTATGTGTGAGTGGGTGCATGTACATGTGTGCGTGTGTGTGTGCAACAGGAGCTGTGCTCACCTCATGCGTGACATACCACAGCTCGTTGTCTGTTATCTCTTATACACTTTACTCTTTGGATCTTGTCACTCTGGCTATGTAATTTTAAGGAACTCCACTTCTACTTCAGAAACAGTAATAATAATAGAAACTCACGATGATCAGAAATTATGTTGATTTTGCTTCACTCACCTGACGCCTGCTATCTCTGTGAAAACAGCCACTTTAGAGTTTCACGTCCCCCTTGTAACAGTTACCTCAGGGCCGTGTCAGTGGACCTGGCCTCCAAGGACGAGCTGGCTCGTCTGGAGCCCCGGGCTGCGCAGAATGAG